AAATGGCTGTACAATCTGAAGAACCCGATTGGACGTCTGGCCCGATGGGCCTTACGACTGCAAGGCCATACTTTCGAGATCGAGTATCGAAAGGGGGCAGACAACGTGTTACCCGACGCGTTATCACGCGCTTTTGACCCCACGAAGGCTGAGGTTGGCGCAATGGACCAACCGAAGTCAGGGGACGACGCCTGGTACGCGGAACAGTTCCGGCGCATCGAGGACCATCCGGAAGACTACCCGGACTGGAAAGTAGTTGGCAAGGTGATGTATCACCAAAAGCCGAGCTGTGACTACCAAGGCGAAGATGGGTACGAGGACGCATGGAAGCATCTCGTGCCACCGGAAGACCGCAAGGCGGTCCTGTTCGAAAGCCACGACCTTGAGACTGCAGGACATTTGGGACGCGAGAATACCTTCGCCCGCGTCACCTAGTCCTACTATTGGCCAGGGATGTACGCGGACGTCAAGGGTTACGTCCAAAAGTGTCAGACTTGTCAGCAGTGTAAGGTCGAACAGCGGTTGCCGCGGGGGCTTATGAGGGATCGGATGTTGTCCACACCTTGGCAAGTGGTAGCGGGCGACATCGCCGGACCCTTTCCAAGAAGCCCTCGAGGGCACGAATACGTATTAGTGTTCATCGACTTATTCACGCGATGGGTCGAGTACTTACCCATACGTAGTGCCAATGGTAAGACGATCGCGAAGGAACACCGGGAACGAGTGATCCTCTGCTTCGGGGCGCCTAAGTTCATCCTGTCCGATAATGGCACCGAGTTCCGTAATCAGCTGGTAGATGGGTACCTGAGAGACCAAGAGATAAACCGAACCTTTACGCCGACCTATACCCCACAAGCTAACCCTACCGAAAGGGTTAACAGAACTTTGAAGACGATGATAACCTCGTACCTGCGAGGGAATCACAAGGAATGGGACCGAGCGTTACCTGAACTCGCGTTCGCGTTGAACACTACTGTCCATAGTTTCACGGGAACCAGCCCTGCCATGCTCAACTACGGTAGGTAGCCGGAAGCCCCGAACACCCTTCGGAGACGAATGGACGAGCTTGTAGCTCGAGAAGAAAGTTTGCTCCGAATCGGACAATGGAACAGGCATATGCAGAATAACCGCTTCGTTATTCAACAAGCTCACGAAAGCGCTTCGGACGGGTCCCTGAGGCAGGCGAGATATTATAACGCCAAGCACAGGACCCCCGGCTTTAAGGAAGGGGACTAGGTATGGAAGAAGAATCGCATACTGTCCAGTGCAACGCAGGATATTTCCGCGAAGTTAGCGCCAAAGTTCATAGGCCCATTTATCTTCACGAAAGTACTCGTACCGCCTTGCCAACCAGCAGAAAGAGGTCACGGAATTGGTCCAAGCCAAGGACCTCAAGCCCTACTATGGACAGGAGGACGACTTACCGGAAGATGGAACCGAGGCGACGAGCATCCCGCCTACTGCGAGCGATGCGACGATACGCGGAAACGGGGACGCGAATACTACGGATAACACACTCCGGAATGATAACGCGACAATTTCGAGCCCATCTCGTCATGCTCCTTCCTATCCCTCCGACAAGATCCCAATAATCACCCCCTCAACTAATGCGGTAAAGCGCCCACGAGCTAGACCTCGCAGGAATGCACTAACCACACACACTACACCGAATCGACAGAATCCACGTATCTCCCGTCCTATTGTCGGAAAAAGAAAGAGAGGTAGATCGCCGAGATCGACCGTGGATGCATGAGGCCCTGCGAACGAAGGACCTGGGAGACCGACGCAAAGGACCCCACCTTCAATCCCGGCGACGAAGGCCCTGGGCAGCCGAACAGGCGCCCTCCTTCGATACCCGAGGAAAGGGTCATAGATACTGACCCACGTGACTGTTACAGGATGAAGATCACCTTCGAACAAATTGAAGAGGCAGCAGCCGCCCTCATTAAGCTGGACCTAGGTCCTGCCGTCGAGTGGTTAGTGCACGCCGCCCTGCACCTCCTCGGTAAGAAGAAAGAAGAGGAGGAGCAATCACGGATACCAGCTCAAGCGAGCTCGTCACCCGTGATCATCGAGGAGATCGACGACGAAGAGTCCCCGCGTCCCTCATCAGTGCAGGGCGTCGTGCGCGCTGAATCGACGCCACTATCCGGACCACCAGCGGGGGCAATCCCCAGGAAGGTCCGACCGACCTCCGTAGGAACGCAGACGGAGGGGACCTTCACCGATGCGACCTGGCGCCCCAGGTTCACTAGCCAGGCGTCCTCGCCTGGTGAACGAACCTGAGAGGAGATAGTGGAGGGTTTGAGGGAGGTTGAGCAAAGCTGGATGACCTTCAATACCCTCCAGCGAGCCGTATACGCGGAATACGACGCGTATACGGCTGCGGGTCACCGCCCCGGTGATATGGATCGCTGGAGTAAGGTGGTGACCTGCCGGCGCCAGTTCGCAGATGCGCTAAAAGAAGTCCAGCGCCGTCACCGCCAGGCCCTCGAGGGCCCGGTGAGTGACGCACGTGTTGGCCTCTCCCAGCCTCCAGTCGTCGGATCCAGACTAGCGGCTCCGGAGGCCAGGTCGAAGGCCACGACACACCGGGGCCCGCGGACGTGCAGGGTAAACCTGGTTATCAATGTGGACGGCAGCAATGGGGGTCAAGCAACGGGGCCCATCCACATAAATCTTGTGGTGGGGTCCACGGTCGAAAGACCGCTGTGGTCCGCCCAACCCTGAACCGGCAGGACGGATTGCCGCTGATCCCCAGGGAGCGAGGCCTCCCTCGTGGCACCCTCTCCCGCGCACAGTAGGACCGGTGTCCCCGCGTCAGGCAGTACGTCGATCTGGTCCAGGAGAGGCTGGGATGGGAGGCACGCGGTCACCCCCCGCTGGAAGCAGAAGGACGGGAGATGACCAGCGACCAGCCCGATTGAAGATCCCTGCCCCCGTGGGATTAATAAGTTGCTCAGAATATCGCAGAGAATATGACCTTTTATTATCCTTTCCCCTCCTCACCTCAAAAGGAACAGCGATAATAATGTTATCGTCGAGGATCCCATATGTCCAGACTGGAAGGGGGCTGTGATGGTAAACGTCGTATTAGCGCTAACAGCCCAACTATACGGCTGTCGGCGAGGGCAGCACCTGCCGGTTGGGGTGAAATGTATTGAGGAAATTCGGTACAAGACGCGACGGAACGCGCGCGAATGAAAACGAACCAGTCGAGGATTTGCTTTCGATACCTCTAGCCGTAATTAAAAAGAAAGAGTCTTTCCCGAGTTTTCCGGAGTGCAGAGACGAAAGGAGAGAAGCCGTGCCATAGCCTAACGGAGTGGAGTGCGGGCTAGTGTGCGAGTGAGCAGTTTCGCCATCGAGGGCGAAACTGAAAACGCGAGATACCTCGCAGCAAAGACTGACTTTTCCGTAACTGGGGTGCGAGCGTTTCCGCTTTCGTGCTACCGTACAACTGATAACAAGGTAAGCTGGCCAGCTTAATTTTGCGAACGCGATTGAGTTGCTAATAATTAATCTCTCGGGCTCCGTAAAAAGCGTGCATGTAATAACTCGGCGAACAATGAACGGCGAGCGATCCGACACTGCATGTTGTTGTCGTGCGCGCGGCATGTAAACATAAACACGCGGGCTGAATACAGTGTAGTATTAAGAGGCAATAAACGATTCCGTATGTGATATTAACAGTATTTTCGATGTATTTATTTCACGTTAGTAGATAGTTGGTTGACTGACACCCGTTCCCTCCTGCTTTCCGGTTTTCGTGTTTGAATGTGTAGGTAATCACGCGCGCTTTTCTATGCGATCGCGCGCTTAAATTAAATAAACGGTATTAACCCTGTTACAACATATATATCAGATTGGACTGTTACAATATGTACCCTATTTGTTTTCATAACATTATAATATTAGCAAGCTTGCACAACTCATGTCACTATTTAAGTAATGTGCATATGGCTATCAAGGACCTAGCTCGAGAAATTAGGTAACCGCCCTTAGCCAATAAAGAAATCAGCTCAAATAATTCTTTCTCTTTCCCTCCCGCTCTTTCTCTCTGTTTCTCTTCGTCCCACTCTCTCTCTCTCTCTCTCTCTCTCTCTCTCTTCGCCCCTCTCTCTCTCTCTCTCTCTCTCTTATGTTTGTGCTATTATTCTTCTTCTATTGAATTTTCTACTTTTTAATAATCTTGTCTTTGACATCGAACTCTCACGTACATCTACGCTCAAATTTTTGCAACCGTCAACAAAGATATAACAATATACACTACTCTCCATGGGTACAAAATTAAATTACATACAACCCACGTTAAAGCCTATACTACTCATATTTTTCATATTGCAACGGTAGTCGAGTCGATTAGTCGATACGTTCGCGATTCGGTAGTACTCGCGATGCTAGAGCGAACAATTAAGAGAGAGAGGGAGCGCGCGAGAGTTTAAAGTTCAGTTAAGCCTCAGCTGTTGTGCAGGAAAACCGCCAAAATTTTCTCTCCTGTTTTGCCGTTTGCCGAAAGATAGTTAATTAGTTTTGGATCCGTACGTAAGTGACAACGAGGTGCAATAAATAAGCAGCCTAGCCAGCAGCAGAGAGGACATTATCATGTAGCAACTGATTTGGTAGTAAGAAGAACCAGCGCAGCCATTCCAGGGTGAATAATTCGTTTGCCAACAACAATTACAACTGATCACCGTAGTTACACCGTAGGGTAAGTGCACTTCCCTTTTTCTGTGCGACAAAGTCTGGTGACTTAAGGTGAGTTCAACTCTGTTGGAAAAGGAGACATTGGAACGAAAGTATAATACGTAAAAGCGAATACACGTATACTCATACGTGATTAACGGAGCGGCGGTTAGCTCTGCATCTTAGGAGATTGTTCTTAATTAAACCCAAGTTGCATCAGTTAATCCACCTCGTTAAAATATATAATTTATATATACGAGGATTATTGAAACAAAATCTCGATATAAAATGAAATTTAAAAAAATTTTACTCACGTTGAAGACGTCTGTTGCCCATTTTTGAAATGACTGTTCTTGACCACACATTTCATCGCCTTGAAATAAGTTTAATAGCCTCTCACCTCCTAGTTCACCAAGTAGATTGTCGACATATCGGCCAAATGCACAAAAATTTGGATAGGCTGATGATCCTAATGCGAAAACAGCAAACCTAAAAATCATTAATTTATTAAAACCTATGACCTATAGGCGACCAGGAAATTCGTAAAATCGTTCGAAGCTTTGCGTGTGCTATTGCAGCTCTGTAGCATAAAAGAGTTTATTAAAAAATTCACATCTTTGATTTCAAATTAAAGACTAGTAGCAGTCGTTATTAAGATGTTTTACAACAACGGTTACGCAGAACCTGACGGTTTTTTGAAAAGAATGCTCTTCTTTATGTTGTAATCTTGAAAAAAAAATAAAGAATAAGCACATTTTCATTAGCGTAAAATTTTTTTTTTGAAACTGTCAAAAAGGAAAAACAATACTTTGAATATTTAACATCGGCATTTTAATTTATATTGTATTTTAGCTTAATTTTATTTTCAATCAAAAGAATCACATTAATTTTTATACAAACGGTGAAAGATTATTTTCCGCACATAATATTTCCGAAATTTTTTCATTCAATTTTTATTTTCAATATAAAATAACTTTTCCAATATTGATTGAATCTTCATAACTAACCATATTACCGACAAAAGGAACGTGTTAGTTAATGATGAAATATGAATCTCTGATCATTTATCATTTTTTATCTATATTGATATTTTTGTAGTTAAATGTCAATTTTATTCGAACCGAATATACGAGGTCTGTCCGGCAAGTATCGGGCCTACCTTTATATTTTCGTGCTAGGGTTATTCTTTATCATTTGGTGGATGGCATCCTTCAAAGTAATCCCCACTTGATTGAATAATACGGTTCCATCGATGTTTCCACTTTTCAAAACAGTCCTGGAACTCACTTTTAGGGATAGCCTTAAGTACATTCATCGCATTGGTTTCAACCGTTGTTTTGTCATCGAATCGGAGTCCTTTGAGTGGTTTTTTTAGTTTTGGAAACAGCCAAAAGTCACAAGGGGTTATGTCGGGACTGTATGGAGGTTGTCGAAGCAATGTGATATTGTGTTTGCTCAAAAACTGCTCCACAAGATTGGATGAATGCGCTGGCGCATTATCGTGATGGAAAAGCCAGTCACCACTTTCCAAAAAGTGCTGCCATTTTCTTCTTACTGCATCACGCAAACGTTTTAAAATTTGAACGTAGTATTCTTTATTGATTGTCTGACCTGTTGGTGTATATTCGTGATGTATAACACCTTCACAATCGAAAAAAACAACATTGCTCCAACTTTGACGTGCTTTTTTTGATCTTGGCAATTTAGAATGCTTCTACTGTGAAGATTGTTGTTTTGTTTCAGGATCATAACCATAAACCCATGATTCATCACCTGTAATAACTTCTAAGCACATTATCATCATTATTGACATTTCCAGATTGTCCAGAGCGATTTCTAAGAGAATGTTCTTCTGCTCTGCTGTGAGCAATTTTGGAATGAATTTCGCACACACGCGTTTCATTCCTAAATTTTCGATTAAAATTTCTGAAATGATAGTTTTCTCGCACAGTCATACGACGATCTTGTTCGATTGGAAGTCGCACCCGCTCAATATTATCTGCGGTTTTTGTCGTCGAAGGTCGGCCGGAACGAGAATCACTATCGACAGAAGTGCGACCATCCTTGAACCGTTTATACCACTCTTTTATTTGTGTTTTGCTCATACACTCGCTTCCGAAGGCCTTTTGCATCATTTTAATAGTTTCCGAACTCGTTTTTCCGAGTTGAAAGCAAAATTTGATTCAAATTCGTTGATCTTGTTTTTCAGTCATTTTTGACAATATCAAAATTCGACGAACGCGAAAAATGCACTGTAAACAAAGACACGCTGCGCATGACGTCCGGCAGGTGCCAGTAAGTAACCAATAGATTCGTGAGGCTTTACTGTTAACGTTTTTGTCCGGTAGAGTTCGCTCTAACACTATGTCGCGAAGATATAAACGTAGGCCCGATACTTTCCGGACAGACCTCGTATAGCTATAGAAAAACTATTTCAATTTTGTAATTACAAAAATGAATCGTGCCTAACAATATTATAAATATGTTTTATTTATGGAAACCATCATTTTCAGTACTGCAGTCAAACGTAACAGAAATATGGTATGACCAAATCAAAAAACTGCAGAAAGCTTCGTTGAAAAAAAAAGTGCAGGTTCCTCGTTGAAAATAATTTATGCATAAAATTATAATAAATAAAAATTATGCGATAGCAACATTTGCTAACAGTTATTTATGAGTTATAAAGGTTTATGAACATGAAATTGTATCAATTTATAAACTATAAACAATTTTGTACACTTTTTTAATTGATTTAAAAACTGTTCATAACTGCTATTAATAGCATTTTTTTTTATGATTGTAACGGAGAATTACGGCCTGGCCGTTGCTCTTCGTCGAGATATCGTCAATGCCCGTGTGCCTTGTCTAGCTGAGAGTGTGCGCCGATTGAGGACACTCATTGTTTTGATTTTTCTGCTTTGCGGTGCGACGGCGGCGACGGCGGGCTGGAGGGAGAGCCCGAATTCAAGCGTTGGGCAGCGAGCGAGGAGATATAGAAGAGAGAGAGAGAGAGAGAGGAGAGATAGATATAAGAGCGAAGAGGAGAGAGAGAGTGACAGACGCCGGCAGAATTACGCGCGCACCCTGTAATGGCGAGGAAGAAGAAATCGTCAGTTGGGTTTGAGCCTTTGGACCGATCGTTGCGCGCACAGTTTATCGAAATAGTTTTTTGTGAGTTTACCCACTCCCTCACCCATAGTTATTGTGAAGGATACGCAGCGAGAATGGTTGTCAAAGACGAGTTTAACTGCGAGTGCAGGGGATCTGGCGAGGTATCGCGGTTTGTGCGCGTGTGCACCCATTTTGTATTGCTGAACAGAGGAGATTTGCAACATTAACGAACAATTATAACGATAACAATTAACAAGAATAACAACAACCATAACACACACTCAACAACAAATAACAGAAACAATAGCTAACTTAACAATAACTAACAATAGTAATAGCCACAATAATAATAACCACAGCAACATTAACAATAGCAATAACAGTATTAACATCTCTCTCTCTCTCTCTCTCTGCCGGTGAGTAACGACACGTACTATCTACGTTCTCCGCAAACCTTCAATAATTTAAATATTTTCTACGCATCTCTTGAGCGGCACATCTGGCAGGTGGTTGGCCTCCTTCACGCTGGAATGGATTTCCTAGTTTAAAACTAAAATAAACAGGCCACTGGTTGATTTTCATTTCTGCTCTCACAACTTAACCTCACTTGTCAATTCAATTCAAGACTCACACCTTCCATCGGCTTACTTGCTCACCATGGAGAACGAGCCTGCACCAAGATATCAGCATTTTTACAAGCTACTCTAATCAACATGCACTCCAGCTTTATTTACGGCTACCTGCACATCCTGTAAACGACCAGCTAACATTCAAAATTGTCTAAGTATAGCTCCACTGTCTTTCAGCGTACATCTCAGTCTGTCTGAAATTTATCTACAAAAGTGTCGCATACTTAAATCATACTTAAATCATTCTTTAACGTAAAATTTGTGAAGTTTTTGTGCTTATAACAATACATATTCAAGTGAATTGAGTCAACGACAACAAACAGCCGATCATCGCTCCTTTTCTCATTTAACATGAATTTCAAAAACTAAAGCGAGTAAATTCATGGTCGCGCCGAGTTATCATCTGCGCCTATATTTGACAGCACTCGTGTTCGTTCGTTTTTCATCTATTTTATATCATCTGTGGCAAAGTGTCTCATCTCATTACATTTTATATTCTTGTCATCGTCTTTTTGTCTTAAGTCTATCCGTTTTCAAGTTCCATGTAACGTCTACATCCTGTTCAAATTTAAATCCGTTGTTTACATTTTGTAATCTCGATGCTATCGTCCGAGTGTATTTCTACCACAGCGATCTATGTCACTTGCGCTATTATACATAAGCTTCTATACTCTGTCTACTACTCTCAGTCGATAATCATTTAAATTGCGTCAAATTCAAATATCTTAAATCTTAATTTTCTTTTATATTGCTTGTTTCGTGTAACGATCTCGTTCGTTTTTTGACTTGAATATGCTTGCATAGTTTGTCGTTACTTGTCTGATTGATTTATCTCTCTGTCACACGTATTCAAATTCAGGTCAAGAGATTTCTCATTTCAATTTTTACATAATTATCAAACCGTTTTCGCATAAAAATTTTTCGCTTTCTACCCATTGTACACTAGTTTATATATATCTCCGGATTGATTTTATAATATTTGTCTCATGGTCTTGTCCACTTGCTCCGTGTGTGGCGATGCACTGAGTCGTCAGACCGACAGAGTCTTGCAGTGTGTTCATTGTGCCAAACTCTCTCATAGTTTTTGCTCGGATTTAGCACTCTCCTCTGATCCATCTGTTTTCTCTTGTCGCGACTGCTTGTCTGTTCCAAATTCCACAACCATTCCAAATCCCACTGCTCCAAATCTTATCCCTTCTGTCACATACTCGTCATATAATACCACAGATTCTCTGGCTTCCACTCAACCTGCTCAAAATCGCAAGCGTATTGCCTCGCCATCTTCACCATCTTCATCTCGAGTCACCAAGCTCCTCTGTCCTGCGAATCCTTTGTCTACCAGCCCTTCCACTCTTTCATCACCAGCTTTACCTGACAAACCACTAATTCTTCCTCGCCGTTCCAGCCCCGCCATGGATAACACTGCTCCGGCTTGGTTTTCTCGATTTGTCGAGAATGACTTTAATGCCCTTCGTAACGAAATGCTGGACAGGCCTCTGTCCTCACCAGGGTAGAGCGCGTCGCTGACGATGTGAAGACATTGAGGTCCTGCCTGGGTTTTAAGGATAGATGTGAGCTGCTGATTTTGGGCCTTCCCATCGAGTTTACCGGAACGCTGGAGGACGCCGCCGGGCTGCTTTTTGATGCAGTGGGCTACTCAAATGCCCGCAACCACATAGCCTCCACCAGAAAATGGACGCCCTCTCGCTCTCCCCCAAAACAAAATGACGTTGCTGCACCGGGGCCCTC